TAACGGTGGCGGACTAATCAACATAAAGCATTTTAAAGTCGTATTCACATTTACGAACAAGCATACTTTAACTCGTTATTAGTGTTATATGGAAAAACAACGTTATATTTGCGTGCCAGACTCACGGTTTTCAGAGAGGTGTCTTGAGTCCTTGTGTCTTAGAAGAATCAAATTGATTCTGGGTTAAAGTGAAGAGGCTTTTAAAGTAATATTTTCCAAAAACCCATTAGCAGAAATGAGCATTTTTCCTATTAAGAAACAGTCCAAACGCCACCAGTGAACTAGAGCGTAAGCTAAGCTCTGCAAGTCAATTACGCGCTTCCACTGACACCTGCTGGTAGTATGACGAAATAACACCTGTACTGTGTTTTCCCAATCACACATATTCCAGCAATAGGTTATATACAAGTAGGGACTTGCTATATTTATACATATAAATAAATAAATAGCATGGAAACAGTAATGCTGAATATCACTGAATATCCACTAAGTAGGAAAACAAATTTGTATTCATGTGGCACTATTAAAACAGGAAACATTTCCTCAATATACCACATGCATTTGTATACATTTGCAGAGGAAGAACATCTTACCTGAGTATCAGAGGACCCCTTAAAAGCACTCTATTTGCATCTGCTTATACTGACCTTCACCAATTCAACTATGAACAAGAAGAAAAACCTTGCAGTAATGTCCGAAGGCAGCCAAACTGGCAGACAGCTGGCTTTCACAAGCAGCATCTGTCCTTGACAGAAAGCTGGCATCAGCAGAGGTACCCCGAAACAGCCAGTCTGTGGGTAAATCACCCAGCACAGCGCAGAACAAGAATCACAGGCGTGTCAGCTGTAACTCAAGCATGCACATTAACCAGAGACGCTTCTTAAGTACTCTCAGCTAGTACATATTACACTGCCCTACCCACATATCCAACTGAACTAGTATTCAAATTGAAAAGAATGAGGCACACAGGTGGAAACTTTAGATTTAAAAACGTAAAGTACTTTTCTTTAAGAGTACCCAACTATTCCTCTTCTCTTCCATTACTCTTTTATAAATTACCACTTACACCACCTGCTGACTCTTGATCGCAGGAACACCTTGGTTTCTTGCAGCTTGTTTGAAATCTACTCTTAAACCTTACTTTTAGTCTGTAATCTGTAAATGGAAGACATCTGTCACTTCCGTCTCCCTCTGCACTGAATCGACACAAACCACCTAGATCCAACATTTAGTTCCAACAAACACTCCCACACAAATGAAATTTCCGACAGTGTCCATCTTTATTTTGAACGTGCCTCCATCGCTTCACTCCTCTGTCTCGGACTCCTCATCCTCCTGACTGATCTGGAAGTAGCGCAGTTCATAGCTCTCCTTATCAGAGGCCACCACCCTCAGCCAGTCACGCAGATTGTTCTTCTTCAGGTACTTCTTTGTGAGGTACTTGAGGTACCTGGAACAAGGTCAAATAGATCATCATTTCACCCATTTCCCTCCATGCAAATGAATGCAATTTGCTTCCCCCTAATAAATATACAGTATCTGACAAGTTCACACTCAATCTGCTTCCAATTAAACATACCTCTTGGAAAACTGCTTTTCTGATGTGACTGTTATTTTGTTCTTCATGCGGGCAATCTGAATAATATTGCCAAGGTTTCCTGTTTTGCCATTGACCTTCACTCTCTCCTTCAGAAAGGTCTCCTGTTCGAATGAAATGGAATGAAAATGCTAGGGAAGATAGCCCTAGATCAACTAGGGAAGGTGGCCCTAGTCAGGACGACACGTTAGTCATAGTTACACAAACGAAAAGTTTAAAGTATTTGTTCAGTGCAGTACCGGTGTGCACAGCAGCCCATAAGGCATCTCCGAAGACTTACAAAATTCCCGGAGTCAAGGATGCCATCCTCGACCGGGTGTGTGAGATCGAGCGTGAATTTCCACGACGGCTTCTTCCTGTCCCTTTTTGCTACAATTTGCTTTTTCTAGAAAGATGGGCACAGTCAGTTGCTGCGGCAGCAAATACGAACATGCAAACAGCGACTGATTAATGTTTAAACTGCAGTGTACCATTACACAGTTATGCATAGATCACATACCCCACAGCACAAAGGTGTGCCAATAATCAAAGCTTAATGCAAATACAAAAGACTGTGATGGAATTAATCCCCAACCTTTGGGAACATACTGATGTACAGTCATGGATAAAACCTCAAGTAACTGTAAACTCAAATTTTAGATAGTTTATCACAGTCAAATACAACTCTTTCCACAGACATTGCTTATTTCGTTAGCATGTTTACTTGTCATTTTGGAGAGGGTCTCACGATTTAGAAGATTAAACATTTTATTCACTATAGCTAGCTGGTGACACGTGGACGGAGGGTGCCTGTCCCTTGCCGGTATTAGGTTCATATGTTGCTAAAAGTAATTACATCTGCGGTAATAAACATTCGTATTGCATTTATTATATAATATTTTCAAAAACATAGAAACGTGCAATTAATCCTGCGAAGATAAACTAATTCTACGACACACTAAAACTATCCCTAACGCCAGACTTCTTACGTACCGGCGCCATATTGTACAGCTTCGTTCCAAAGGAAATGACGGCGCACGCGCCAGGATTTTGTTAGCGTGCTGACGTCATGCGGCCTTTGCTGATCACATGTTTGCCTAAAAATGTTCAATGGCAGTACTGCAAACTGGGGGTCGAGTATGAGGTCATGCGCGTCATTGAAGCATAGCCACCGAAATAACGAGCAGTGTCATCAGTGAAGTATAAAATTATTTCAAAATATTAACTGTAATAAGATTAAAGCCTTGAAAAAGGGATCCGTGCCTTAGGCATGGTCTTAACGAACATTTCATTATACGAAGCACAATTTATAAAATCCTTGCTGAGAAATAAGTGATTCGAAACAAAACATGTAATATTTCTATCCGTTATATTCTATTCTATTATCCAGTTTTCTTTCCATTGTTGATGTAAACAAAATTGAATTAAACGTTTTGGACATAATGTTATATTATACTAAAATACAGTTTTATTGTTATGAATTTATTTTTTAAGAACAATAAAAGGGTTTCCAGCTTCGGTCAGCTGGCTCGTCTGATTTGGCAGCCCTGCATAGAAAATGACCGGTCCTTAGTGAGTACACCCCTAGACCCCCGAATTTAAATGCGTAAAATTAAACAATTTTCAGAAATGTGTAAATGTGTGTGGGGTTTGCATGTTCTCCCTCGTCGTGGGGTTTCCTCTGGATACTCTGGTTTCTCCCCTCTGTCAAAAAAATTCCTGAATAGGACAAGCGGGTACAGAAAATGAATTTATGGGTGTAAATGGGCATCCTGTGCTTTTACACACCACTAGAGGGCGTTCCCTTCGTTGAATGGAAAAACAACTTAACCCGTAGTCCAGGTTATTGTTTCATTTTTGTCTTTATTATTAGTAGTAGCGGTAGTAGGATTAAGTAATTAATAGGATAAACAGGATTGAGACTTTTAGGACGATACTTACTGTATGTCAAAACATTGGCTTTCGCGGTGTTTAGCCTCGACCATAGTTTTTATCTTCAGAAAAACATTCACTTTTGAAACATAATATTACTACTGCACTATAAATATGTAAAAATTACATCATTTACATCAAATACTAGACGATTAACTTCAACAGTATGAGTATAATAGATGTGCATCACACAACATTTTTTGTTCCTGCTTTGAGATAAAATGATCCACTTCAATTTACTATGTATCAATTAATTAATTTAGTGTTTTTGCATTTCAGCTTGAGGATGAATTCACCTGAGTGGATACCAACTGCAGAGCCAGAAAATTTTCAGTGGGATGACCAGGGTGGACCATAGGTCAATTTGGGGGGGGGGGGGGGTATATAAATCTAAATGTGAATGTAAGGTTTGTAGAAAATAAGGGAATGTTTAAGGCACCTAAAGGCTATAACTCTACATCGTTTATAATTCAGGCAGTGGTGGAATGATCAAATACACATTTAATATATCGATTTCTTGCAGTTAAGGTAACAAGCTGACACTAAGTACCAGATTCCAAACCCCCTTCCCACTCCCCAGATCTGGGTATGATGGATACTTTCAATGCTTTCATCAGCAACAATCAGGGAGATTGAAACACAGCAGTGTGTGGGTTTACTGCACACTGTCAACAAATGATGTGAAGCTAATGCTAACAACTATAGACTGACAGCTCAACCTAAATAACCAAATTCTTATGGTGTAAGTTAACAGCTACAAAATAGCACTTCTTAAATTGCTGTTAATTTAACTTGTCAATGATCATCATTGACGTTTGGCTGAATGGTAATATGCAACACGTTTTTTGTTTAAATCTGAAGCTGTGGAAGTTAATACGAGTGACGATCAGAAGGAATGTTTACATAAGATAGTCCATTACATTAGGTTCAGTCCACTGGCTTTTACATGCAGGACTAAGTGCAAATAGATAAATGTGTTTGCTGTTATTTCAAAGCTGTTAAAATGTAACCATCCTCCTGCATCTGCGGTGATCCTGGGAATGCCTGCTGTCAAAATCATTTTTATTAACTAGTTCGTTTTTTGATATAATAATTATTCTTGTAAAATTGTTGGTACATTTTTAGCATTTGATTCAATTTTTTGTCCATACCAGAATAAGAACACGTAAATTCAGTCTTTTTTGCTGACTCTTCAGGCAAGCAAAAGAAACTATTTATTAATTCATATATTAATTTTCTGACAACATATTGCAGGGGGGGGGATACCACTGCAATGCACCAACACATATATTACTCAGTACACTGATTAGCTCAACTTCATGTCTTTGAACTGGAAACCCAGTTCAGATGGTGCAGACTTCACACCGTCAGTGCAGGCAAGATTCATACCCACAATCCTGCAGATACAAGGCAACACCATTACCCAATAAAGCAATAATCCCCCCCCCCCCACCTGAAGGGCTCTGATGAGAAATACCAAAAACGTAAAACCTTTGTTTTTAGACTTGATTACATTTTAATAATTAAATCGATACTTTCATCAGCAACAATGATGGGGATTGAAACACAACAGTATGTGGGATTACTGTGCACTGTCAATCACTGCCAAAATCTATTATCTAATATAATAGCTTCTGTAAAGGAGTTAAGATACCCAGTGATTGACAGCTCTTGATAATCTCACCCACTATGTATTCTGAAGTCTTTTTTCTCCTGCTATTATTTGTTAGATTAAACGATGAATCATTTTCAGAATTCAGAATTTTAAAATAGACACTCAGTATAAAGAAATTACTGTTCACTTGATTTTTGTTTTTAGCTTGGGAAAAGAAACCATAAAGAAAAATTCTTTTTGTCCTGCATACATTCTAAAAGAAATGTAGTGAAAAGCAAAAATAATGCTTAAACTGAACCGTGTTACATGGCCAAGCTGCTAGTTATATAAGAGATAAGAACACGAGAGATAGTATTGTTGTTAGACAGGTATGTGTGAAAAAAATCCATCAAGTTTTCAAGGACCTAAATTTGCAGAGAATGTACTTCCTGATTAAAGACAGTAACGTAACACTTCCTACGAGTACGAGTGCATTTATAACATACTGTAACACGTATTATAACATATTCTAACTATTTATTGCACTTAAGGTGCAATAAATAAAAATGTAGCGAAATATTATACTAATAATACAGCATCTCATAAATCTCAGTCGCTAAGTCAGCTGTAATATAGGTATAAGCCATAAATGGCTTAATTCCCACACTGTAATTCCTGGTCCAGCTTATGAAGCTAGCTTGGTTCTCTCTTAGATGGCTGACTGTCTTTTGAACCAAAGAGGCGGAATATGAGGTAAGAGTATAGGGGAAGGTGGCTGTAAGGGCTACACACAACCAGCCAGCCAACCAGACCCTTTTTCAAGCTGTTGGACTTTGCTTGTTGAGCTTTGCTGCAGTTCCGAGTTTATGGTTTACTTCTGTCATGTACCAACAGGCCAGCAGCCGATCGGTTCACGTTACTGCCCTGGCTGCTCGGCCCGTCTTCCCATAGAAGACCACAGTACTTATCCTGCTTGATACTCTCCCGTCAACGCAACATTATTCGAACGAACTAGGAACTCTAACACTTGTAGCGTAGCATGAATAATACTAAGTATGCTCTAAGTCAATCCCATTACTAACCAAAGGGTTGACTGCTTCTGTGGATAAATAAAAACACTTAAAATATACACAACTTAAAATGATAACTTGACTGTATATTAGTTATGGAACTCTATGGGTCTGTGTGCAGTCTCCATGACGACCTTTCAGGCCTCTGACGATGACTTCAGCTGCTCCAGCTCAGTCGCTGCGGGGATGGGGGGGCGGCGACCTCGCCTGCCCTGAAACTCGGCAGCGATCTCCTCAAACGTCTTGCCCTTGGTCTCCGGCACCCGGAAGTATGTGAAGAGGGTGAAGATGAATAGGAAAGCCGCAAAGATGGTGAAGACATAGCTTCCGCACAGGGCCTGGGACGTTAGGAGAGAGGGGGAAGCGTCAGGAGGCAAAGAAGACCATGCTACTCATGGCAGGAATTGTGTTTATTTATGGAGAAAACACTTTTATCCAAAGCAACATACGATTGAGAGAGCAGTGTTAGCTAGTCACTGGAACAATTTAGGTTAAGATCATTGCTCAAGGAACCTAATGGTGAAATGTCTCTGCTAAGCACGAGATTTGAACCAGAGACCTTGAAATCACAGACACGGAGTCCTAACCCACAGGTTCTCACACCATTCTTTTTATGAGGACAAAGTATATTGACTGAAATATGCATGTTGAGAAAAGGTAGCTAATGAAGGTGTTACAGGGTGTAAGATGTTCCGAACATCTGAGTCCTCTAACACCATATGGGGAAGGGGGGATACTGGATTCCCTTTTCACCAGTCACATTGTTCTTCCTTGTCTCGGAGCTTCACCCTTACCTCCACGTATGGAAAACACATGCCAATGATGAAGTTGCTTGTCCAGTTGAAGCAGCCGGCCAGGGCTAAGGCCGCAGGCCGTGGACCTTGGCTGAAGAGCTCCGCCACAATGAACCACGGAATGGGGCCTGGCCCGATCTCAAAGAAACACACGAACAGGAAGATGGCGGCCATGCTGACGTAGCTCATCCAGGAGTAGGTACTCTGCGGGCAGGACACAGGCGGAGGTTTCAGTTTGGGAGATAGGGTGGGGGGTGATTGTGGCACTGTCTCAAACCCCAATGACACGTGACATGGATTTGTCAACCAACACCCAAGCTGTGTGCTGTAGAAAACTTGAGAGCTTTCTGCAATATTCTGGTCATATATGCTCTACCACAAACACAAAGATTGCTGCTGGGTTAATTACCCATAATACCCTGTGACTGGTGTTTATCACTAGCTAAATGAGTTCTTCTATATTGGGGACAGTTAGATAGCTAATGAGCTGAAGTGTGTGTCCCAGATTGTCAATAACATTATGTTTTGCTAATGAAAACAAAGACTTATGCCTTCTGTGTCTGCAGCTATATTAAAAAAGCATATATATTTTTGTACAGCTCTGGAAAAAAAATTTAATGGCCACAGCAAAAATTTTCAATTTCACCCATTTCTCGGTGTGCGTCTGTGAATAATATTTTTTTTTTTGGCAAACTGCAGCCTGGTTCTTTGTTTCTCATTAATGAAGGGCTTCTTCCTTTATGGGACTTCAGTCCTGCTTCTAGCAGCCTGATATCAACTGTCCTAGCAGTGCAATTCACACCTGCACTTAGTGTTTCCCGTTCCTTTTGAAGGTCACTTGATGTCATCCTCAAATTCATGAGAAACTGTAGGATAACTTGACAGTCATCTCTCTTTGAGCCTGGAAGCAACCTGCTGCTCAATGTAGCCTTCTGCCGGCAGGACCGGGATAAAACCGGGATTTCAAAATAAAGAAATATATACAGTGGTCTCAATTTTTTCCGGAGCTGTATATATTAAAACGGCACAAGGGAGAGGGGGCATACCAGGTAGACAAGGCCAACGGACATGGCCACGGCACAGCAGCACATCCCACCGAGTCCGATCAGGGTCATAGTGCGTCTGCCGGCCCGGTCCACAAGTGCCACCTGAGGAACAAACACAAAAAAGTTCTTCATGTGTAAAATATATATATAATGTTTTGTGTTTCCAAAAAAATCTGCGTAAGCTTCTGAATCATTAACAGCAGTATCGCTAGTATGTTAATAAGCGGTATCAGGATTGCATGTTGTTTCGCTGCTTTTCTCGCGTTTGCTAATCAGCGTCAGTGGACTCTGCCGCTGTGCGCTCGGACCGATCCTCTCTTGAAGTCACACGGCCGGCAGCCGTCCGGTCCTTGAACAGGTAGATAAACGCTTCAGAGTCCTGTCGATAACAGGCGGCTCGCTTCTTACTGCGCCGCCGGCTCGCGGCGGCTCAGGGCGCACCCTGATGTTTATGAAGCATGCCAGACGCGGCGTTCCAGCCCCAGCACCGGGGACTGTGCCGGGCAGCGGTTCAAAATGCCTTTCAGTGGACATTGTGGTATGTAGGGGGAAAAATTCATTTAAAAGAAGTCTACGCAGTCAGTGTAGATAGCCAACAGTACATGATAAAGTTCGTGCGTCTTTTAGGTGGGAAAAATGATACATCACGATACATCATGCACCTGATAAGCAGTTATGGATGGATGGATACCATGCTGAAAAAAAAAACAGCATAGACCACTGTAACTGGTTACCAGCATGTCCAGCATAATGCATGCTGGTTATGCTGAGTTTTAGTACTGGTGAACCAGTATCGTTATTGCTAGTGGACCTGCTTCCTGTGCACCAGCTACACCGTCTTTTAGGTGGGAAAAATGATACATCACGATACATCATGCACCTGATAAGCAGTTATGGATGGATGGATACCATGCTGAAAAAAAAACAGCATAGACCACTGTAACTGGTTACCAGCATGTCCAGCATAATGCATGCTGGTTATGCTGAGTTTTAGTACTGGTGAACCAGTATCGTTATTGCTAGTGGACCTGCTTCCTGTGCACCAGCTACACCAGCACCAAACCAGCATGAACAAGTATGAAAATCATGCTAGTCTATGCTGTTTTCTTCAGCAGGGTGGGTGGATGGATGGTTGGATAGAGAAAAAAACTGTATGTTATAGTGGATTTGTGTTATGTTTTATTTCTGTGATCAACATATGAGGAAGCGGTACTTTTGTTGCTAAGAGACTTAAATATCTGTGTTGTATCTTCACATTAGGGTTACTTACTGAAACCATGGTGAAAATGGTGTTTATTACACCCACGCCGATAGTGGCATAGACCGGCTCTGCAACACCAGCTTTGTAGAAAATTGCCGTCGAGTAATAAAAAATCTGAGGAGGAGGAAGACAAACATCTTTTGTTTAAATGAGCTGGAGAGCAATAAAGGCTCCGTTCAGCGATTGGAGGATGGAAGGGGGCGGGGCTCACGGCGTTGATCCCGGAGAACTGCTGGGAGAGGTGCATCATCAGCGCCACAAACAGCTGCTGTCGGTAGGTGGGCAAGCGCACCAGCGTCACGATGGAGATCTTCGCCTCCTTCATCACCTCCTCCTTCTCCTTCTTCATTTCTGCCAGCTCTTTCGAAAAGTCGTATTCCCCACGGAAACGTTTCAGACCTCAGGGATCGAAAAAATTGGGCTCAATGGGCTATAGCGGATTCCTGTTCTCAGATTGCCCCCTGGTTTATGACTGTGCATGTGACCATTAATGGACTGACAGCTGATCTAGGATATTCTGACCCTTTCGCAAATGAACATCCAAGAGATGCTTGTGTAGCTCCACATGTAGCGCATTGTACTAACGATTAAGGTCATGGATTCAAAACCCACAAAGTACATGTAAATTACAAGCCGTCACTCAACTGTACGTCACTCTGAATAAAATCATCAGATAAAGCTAAATATGTTACATCAGTCTTTTTCAGACAATTCACATTTTGCTCCCTCCCAGCTAGGAATGTGGACAGTCTAGGTGGTCCCCAAAGATCGGCTTGGGAAACACTACATTACATAAGTGTTCATGGAAAATGGCTGAAGCATCGTATATAGCTGGATGTATAAGCTACTTGGACAGAGAGACCATATAAGAAGATGGAGGAGTACATTTTCGTGCCTCCTCCTCTCTGCCCAGTTTGATGTAGAGGTAGCGAGGGCTCTCGGGGCACAGGGGCAGCAGCAGGCTCTGGAGGATCGCGGGCGCCCCAGACAGGCCCAGCAGGACTGGCCAGAGGGCATCGTTCCCCAGCAGGAAGTCCAGACCAATCACCTATTGGGCAGACAGGAAGTTGGGATCACAGAGTTTACAGCCGTGGAAAAAATTAAGAGACCACAGCAAAAAAAATTTCTCAATTTATAGGTGTGCATCTGTGAATAATATATTTATTTTTTGCAAACTGCTGCCTGGTTCGTCTCTGTTTCTCATTAATGAAGGGCTTCTTCCTTTATGGGTCTTCAGTCCTGCTTCTAGCAGCCTGATATGAACTGTCCTAGCAGTGCACTTCTCACCTGCCCTTAATTTTTCCCGTTCCTTTTGAAGGTCAGTTATGTCATCTTCTGATTCACAAGACACTGTCAGGTTAAGTTAACGGTCATCTCTGGCGTTAGAAAGTCACTTCCGCTCCCTACCTGGTTGATCTCTGGTCATTCCCAGTGTCTTTTTGAACCTGGAAGCAGCCTGCTGCTCAGTGTAGCCTCTGCCAGCAGAACCACAATTACACTGGGATTTAAAAATGCAGACTGGTTTAAAAATATAGTGGTCTCTTAATTTTTTCGAAGGCTGTATGTAGCAACCCAAAGGGATAAATGTGGCGGAAAACTAACTTATCTGCAAAGCAATGAGTGTGTAAAATAATCAAATTACAGCAGAGACTGTAAATAGTTATTTTCATAGTACATGAATTAAATCACATAACACCACTCCCCTCACTAAGGAAAGGGACAGAAGGTCATTTTTTTTCAGTACAGGAGGCATATATTCGGACAGCTTTCGGAGTTTGTCATTTGGTTGAGGCTAATATTTGCCTGATAAATCCAAACGGTAAAGTGTATTTCTCTGAAATATTGTGCATTACCTGGACTGAGTGTTTAGAGTCCTAATGGTGTCCAACTCTACAGGGCACAGTACAGGGAAGATACTGGCAGTAAAATGCAGTAATGCATATTTATATTACGCATAATATTACTGAAATGCTGAGCTTGTAGTTTGCTTGCATCAAATCAAGATCTCGACACCTTGCCAAGACATTCTGAGAAATGACATACCTGTACTATTATCAATGGCCATAAATATTACATAAGCTTTGATTGCCGTGTGAAATCCATCATGGATGGTGGCTACGACTGAGATTTACTCTAGTTTTACTCACCTGGCTAATGAGGATGCCAGACACTATGGCCAGTTGGTGCAGGGTGCCCAGAGCGCCGCGAAATGCCACCGGTGCGATCTCTCCAACATACATGGGCACCAGGCCAGAGGACAGACCTTGGAGAGCCCGGGGCACAGCGTTAGCGGGCAATGCCAGCAGGCATTAATGCCGCTGCTCTGGCAACCAATAAACACATATTTCCCACAAGACTTGAAACATATTGCAAGTATTCAGTCAGAGTTCTACTGCCAGCAATCGTTTTGGATGTAACTCCACATGCTGTTGGTGGTCCCTCCAAAAAGAAGATTTAAATTTGGAGTCTTAATGAAGGATCCAGGAGTAGCTGTCGTTGCGTGCCAGTCGGCACGTGCCAGTGCTGCCAACCGAGGCTAGCGCCATCTTACCACAGTAGAATCCCATCACGGCTCGCCCTGCGATGACCATGATGTGAGGAACGCCCTTGTTGGCCAGGCCCATCAGCAGCCCCCCCGTAACAGCTAGGACGTTCACCGCCAGCATGCCCTTCACCCTGGGGATTGATGGGCATCACTATACTCTCAGAATGTCCCAGGCATCTATCTTTCCTCCCTCCATTTGGTGGAGTACATTCACACTGAATCTGATTTACCACAGTAGACACCGGCCTTGGTAAATGGGTAATGTTGTATCGTCTTCGGGTTTCTCAGGTTTCTTCGGATAGGTTGCTATGTAAAAATAATTCTCTTTTGCGTGCGAGAATATCGAAAGGCAGAAGGTTGAAAATGTCCGTCATGCTCCTCACCTTCCTCTCAGGTCGCCCACAAACCCCACGAAGAAGGACGAGATCATGCCACCGATGGAGAAGATGGACACGGACAGGGACCAGTACATGAGCACGGTGGGGTGGGGAAGCCCTTCTGTGGCATTATCGGAGTGCGACACGTTCTGCAGGACCCCCAGGGCACGCCCATAGTGCCGCTCGATGACCTACGACCCCCCCCCAGAAAAACAAATGTGTATTCAAACCGGCTATGGGATGGATTATGTGACTCTTTTACAAACTACACTAAGAAGCCTCAGGATCTGAAGGTTTATAAATGTTCACTAATGTATTTATTATATTTATTATATTAAGTTGGCACTAAAGCTTATTTGCAGTTTGCTTTTATAATTATATACATTTCTGATACAAGGATTTAAAGGTATTCATATACTGTAGATAGTTCCCCTCACAGCTATATTTACTTAACAGATGCCTTCCTGTGAGTTCTCTGTGACTATTTATGCTCACCTGGTTGGTTGAAACAAAACCATGATCTGGATTTATACTTTCTGGACCTGAACTTTCCACCTCTGTTTACAAGAATCAGTGAGCATGGCAGCCTGCGTCCCAGGAGCAGATGGGGCTGAAGGCCTTGTTTAGTCACAGGTATACGTCATAGGCCACAGAGCCACACCACCCCCCAACAATAATACTGCACCTTTTTCTGGTCGATCACTCAAGTCTTAGCTGAAAAAAACTCTTGCATCCAAGTTGGCATCTTGTCTGCCTCACTTGTACATAACTTTGGGCAGAAACGTCTGCCAGATAATGTTCAATCTGCTGTGGCAGTATTTCCTGCCAGCATGTGCACAAGCCTGCCCAGCTAACAATTTTCAGTTCCCATAACATTCCAGGAAGGTTACTTTTTGGTTATGGGAATGCTCCCTGTAGGTTTGTTTGGGTGTCTTTTGGTTAGGACAACGTTCCCGTTAGGTTATAGGAACATTCATGTAACATTAGAGTTTTTAGCTTGGGGAACGTTCTGATGCATAATATCCTGGTGTAATTAAAGGTTACGCGAAGATTTTGTAACACTAACCATAGAACACTAACATAAACGTTCCGTGCTTGGTGGGACTAGGGTGGAGGTACCTTTTGCGGTGCGTTGATGACGCCGAGGCTGTAGCCGTACTGCAGTGACCCGAGCACCGCCGTGAAGACTGCCAGTATCAGAGTGCCAGACAGCTGCTACACAACATGAGCACATGAACACCTATCAGGAGTGTCCTGGCTCCCCGTAAACTCCGCCCCACCCCCCCCACCAATAAAACCTCACCTCCCATTCAAGCTTTCTTGCACCCCCGATTAGCAAAGGCTCTTGTCATTGCACTGTTGAGAATTTTAGTTTTTTTTTTTTTTAATCATGTTCTCTTGGGTAAGCTAAACTGAGCTAATTTGTCACACAATTAAATACCACACAGGAAGGGTTGCCAGCTCTCGTGCATCTGATGTGGCACTCACGCTTTCAGACTCTCACGCTCATGCAAGTCTTACAGCAAATCTATATTATTCCATTATAAACCTCAAATTAGCTACATCATTAAAACTGGGGTAGTTTGTGAACCCTACAGACTATTTACCATGTAATTGAAAATCTCACTCCAGCCAGCTGACTAAACCTGGCAACCATGCACACAGGGCTATAGGAACACAATATGTACACACTCTTCCTTTTACACAATATGTACACACTCTTCCTTTTTAGCTTCATATCTAGCCTGGGTTTGTATTAGATGGAAATTAAAAATATCTAACAGTAACATGGCTCTTTACGCTCTCGACTAAACTACCTTTAACCACCCTGTAAAGCCAACGGGGACCAGTCTAGGAAAGGTCCAGCAGATGGAAGAACCTGCGGTAGAAAATCAACAGGGGCAATGAAGCAGCATCTATAAGCTCAGTGCTTTAGCTCTACTGCTACAATGCTTGCTAGCTATTTATACTGGTTAGCGACCTGCGTTGCTCCCACGCTAACAGTACAGCACTTCTAGCTAAAATTGACGTAGAATTATTCCATCTTTCTGACTTAAAGAGACATGATGAAGTGGCACAAGCTTGGATCTCAATGAGGAAACATCTAGTCTTCAAAGTCATCGTTTAATCATCCATTATTGCAACGTTGCAGAATACCTGAGAGTAACGGCAAAGTAAATGTCTGCCGGTTAGCGAGACACTTCCTCTAAGCAAACTTCGCTAACTCACTGTATCTTTGATTATATAGAAAGACGACATCAGCCAGTGTCATTTGTATTACTTGCACACAACACCACATTTACGGGACAAAACACTACTATAAACAACAGTAATAAATAATGACAAATAATCACGGCAATTTAACATTCACTGTGTCCTTTAATCTTCACAACTGGCTGTATCCAAGCTCCCCCAAGAAAATCCCTTATTTTAATTTTTGAAACAAATCTGGCATGCTGGCATAATTCTTCACCTTAACCAGGAATAAAAAAGACAAGGATGAAGTGAAATATTTCATTTTTTATTCCCCAAAAACCAAAAAGCTGGTGGTCTAACCAAACTTTATTAGTAATGAATTACTAGAGCTTTTACCTTTCCAGAATCCATCTTCTCCCTTGTGTGCAAAGTTCCCTTCCCCAGCTAAAGGCTGTTCCAAGGTTGTTGTTCTGAAGCTAGATAGATATTAGACCAGGGTAATGTTCAATCCCACTGACGCTCCAACCAGCTGTCACAGATTTCACTGTGCCTTGTAGTGGCTTTTAAAAAAAAAGACTTTCGCATTCATTAATAAATGTCAATATGTGTGTTCCTCTGCGTTTCACAATTTAAATGTCCCCCATCAAATCAGTTAAACACTTTCCATTTTCCCAAGCTGTCTAACGTGTGGGGAATAGCTACCTTTGAATGTGCCTGTTCTTGCACAAATCTTGGAGTGAGGGGCATTAGGATCTGAGCTTCACATTAAAAAGCCAGTGAGAGACACCCAGGGGCAGCAAAAGAAAATAGAGCACGAGCGACAGGAAAGCAGTCGATAACAGATCGTTCAAGGGGACAAAGTCTGCTCGCGGGAAATTCTTCAACCCTGATGAGAGCCCCTGACGAAAACACAACAAAATATTGACAAAGTCCTTAAGCGTCCTTAAAAAAAAAGAAAAAGCAAACAAGACAGATTTATTAATGAATTATTTATTTATATATATATTTTTTAAAAAACAGATGTTACTACATTTCAAATCCAAAACAAAATGGTGACAGTACTGAGTTCTGGGGCGCGAGGACCCAGCAGTGATGGACCGCCCCTCGAACCCGGGGCTGGATCCCACTTTAAATCTGTATGACTGCGATCAGAGACCAGAGAGTCCAGAAAGTTCTGCAAAGGCTACACAGATAAAAGGGAAGGAGCCATGGTATCAACAGTACCCCTTATTGCTAGACACGTGAGGTCAGACACCACCTGCCCTCAAATCAGTTTCCTTATTCCTATTTAATTCATATTTAAAATATAATGTCTTGGGCCAGATTAATCAAAGTTTTTTTTTCCAGAGCACCTGCTTTGTGTCAAAAACAGAAAAGAATAAAATGCATTTGCTTGACATTTTAAATCACATATAGTGATGGTATTTGTGAAATTAATGCCTAACATTGATAAATCTGGCCCTAAATGTGCAAACATTACTAGTAACCCAGGATAATATTTAAAAGTATTACAGTGATTTCTCCTACTTTGGAAAAACATAAACGTGAAGAGAAACACAAGTATAAACATAGCTTATATCTTTAGGAAAGAATTATTTATCCTATGACAGGCTCTGGAGCCCCCACCACCCTGAATAGGACAAGCGGTTTCAGAAAATGGATGGATGGATGGATGGATTTTTATTTGAAATTAGCACTTAATCTCCCAAAGTTCTGCTGATAAAAACAGAATATCCTTGTAAACCAGGCACACTGTGTCCTAGTTTCACCATTAAAATCGATACTGTAGTGGTTTGCACAACTACAAATCAATATGGGGGGGTGACCAATGGAAATCCGCTTCCAGCTCAGTCACGTGCCACAAAGAACCAATTGCTGCACTCTGCCCACTATTGCCCTAAGATCCCCAGTAGTTACCCAGTCAGCAGAGCTACACCACACAGGCAGGGACTGATCCACCAGTCAGTCGAACCCCGACCAGTTCTCAAGCACCAATCTGTACTCAAGGCACAGAATGAGTCCCTGTACTTTAGCTCCAGGAGGGTCACAAGCCAATCAAATCCAGATCTGCTTTCACAACTTTCCACTAATTACACCTTGTCTGCCAATTGTAAAATGCACATTCGTTGTGGGTATTTCTAAGGAACACGACACCCCAGCCTCCTCTGTGTAGACGCCTTGACTATATCGACGCCTTGGTCCACCTCGCTGGTGGCTGTGTCATCCAAAAAATTTCCAAAACAAAATGGGCGAAAACGGACAAAGGAGAGGTAGGTCAATCAGATGAGACACCGATTTATCATTTTTCCTTCCTTTCCACAACATCTGTGGCACGTGTATGAGCAGCAACGTGGATAATGAAGGGGGAAAAAAAAACACAATGTTTATTTAGGACAAGTTTTCAGAGTGGCCTGCTAAAAGAAAATGACAAATTACAGGAATGAGCTTGGGTGGGTGTTTGTACAGACCCACAGGCATGGTGGCCGGGTTACAGGAGATTAGCAATTACACACCTGGCTCCCATTGATGCAAAAGACTGAGCACCCATGTCAGTTAAGTTCACTGTCCAGAAACAACTGGGATTCTTACTCAATGCAAAGACCCCAGTTTCAGGGAAAAAAAAACATACAAACAAAAAAAAATAATAAACAAAGTCACTCGTGGTGTGTCAGCATGACTACAACGTCAGAAGTTCATGGGCTGGATCCCCAGCTGAAGCTACTAGATCGAAGGAGTCGAGTAAAACCCTGAAAAAAGCCCCGATTTGGGGTGCACTTCTGGTGGGACAGGAGATATGAGACAGAGCGATGGCGAGACCAGATTTGGCACGTGACGGGGGACTCGATTGTTTCACAGCGAAAGGCAGAAACGGGGTGACACACATGCGGAAATCGCCGGAGACCGGCAGGGAAAAAAGAAGAACGGACCCAAATATAATCTTCACGACTGCACTTTTCAACAAAGTCCATTGTGTACAATTATCCACAATTATTAACCTCCATGACGGATGCCACCGTTTGGTGAAATTTACTGTCACACGTTCAGGTTCCTTGCACAGCTCTCTGTTCAGCTCTCATAAGAAAATACACCCCGATTACCTGCCCCCTTCAAGCTCAAAATGATAGACAATGAACAAGGGGAAAGGGGGGGGGGCTTTATGAAAAATAAATAAAGGAGCTCTTTTGGCCCATGTGATGCTCCATATATGGGCGCTTCCCATGGTGCATGGTGTTCTGACATAGAATGTGATTCAGGATCCTGCCCCCCCACAAGAGGGCGGTGCCAACAGCTCCATCGGAGAAGACGCCTTCCTCTTCACAACCCCCACCTGGGGGGGTGTCGATCCCGGCTCTTGCGTGGTGGTGTGATTATCAGGCTTCTTCTTGTTTACCGCAGGGGCTATGAAAGTGACACTTGTGGGGGGAGGGGGGGGAGTAGGAATCCACAGATGACCATCAAGGAGGGATTTACCAATTCATCATGGAGCTCCGGTTGAGGGTCATGAAAAAGACTTGGCTGCTCCCCCCGGATCGAACGGAAGCGAAGAACACCTGGCGGGACAGAGAGGATTGTGGGAATGTGGTGTGGTGGGTGCTGCTCTTTTGGGCTCTCGGTTGGTTCAGCAGTGGTGGCGGGAGGTGTGGCTCCTACCTTATCATTCCTCTCACAGAGGAACTTTAATCGCTGAGCTCGTTTGTGCATGAAGACGCCGTCGAGGTGTCCCGTCTCCACGGAACGGATCTCAATGGCCTTCTCTCCCCAGCCCATGATCTGGTTGGAGTGGATGTAGGCTGCAAGACAGAACCACCGGGAGTCAGCCACTGACTGGCTTGCAGCCTATCATCAGACAGCGACCTCTAGTGTACGGTGACAGCAGCGCAACAATGACCAGAGCTAGCACCAGGAGATGATGCCAGAGACAATGTGGGGAGGTCTCTGCAGCAGTTTCTAGTCCAGCCCTTAGAGTGAGAGACACTCAGTTGGGAAAGCAATCACTGACTGTGCTGCAATCAATAAACTACTGCCACTTAATAATAAGACCACTTAACCTACATAATATAGACACAAGGACTGATTTAGAAAGCCTTCTTTGGGTGCCATACACCTCTCAGCCAGTAGGTGGCAATAACACATGGCAAACATTCGTTCGTGGCTGCGCTGGGATTACCCGAACTATGACAAGATACAACAGAGACCCTCGTTTGATCAGGCCTTGGCTGCTGTTGCGTTTGGGCTCTGCTGGTGGGACGAGGCAGGATTTTAATATTTCACTTGAGTCAGGCTCTCTTTTCATGGGATGACTTGACAGAAGATAAGACCACCTTACGTGGTGGCTGCATGACGAACAATGAGCCTTTGGCTTCGTTGGCTGATCACCTGAGGGGCAGTAAATCACCCCCAGGGATGACTCTGGGCACTGGCAGCCAATCGGGAACTAGAAACCTGGTCGCGCAGATTACAGAGCATGACGGCGGATTACCGAGCTTAAAAATGAAATCCCCAAGTACGCCGCAAAACCACAGTCGACCAGGACGGCCCATGACCACGTGAAGTCCAGAGCTGTGACTGACAGTCCCGGAACCTGGGGCCTCATTTTCTCTCAATCGCGGAGAGAGAAACCACGAGGGAGGCCGTTGCCATGCAGCAGGTGCTATAAATCGAACTGGAGCTCACACTTATCAAATCACATCTATCCCCTAGAAGAAAAGTCCTCCGTGAATGTTATTAAACTTTAAATGAACCCTAAACGTCTGCATCTCCCCATCAACAGTTGCCATTTTCTTTCTACCGTTGAGTTTCCATTACTTTAGAAATGAGGTGGTGTTACTGAATCTGTATTTTTAATCTCCCTCTCGCAGTTCTGAGATCTCGGAGGACACATGTGCAAACATTCAGCGACTGCTTCATATGAGAAATGCTACCAACGATAAGATCAAAATATAAAACGAGAGGGTGGGCAGAAAGTGGTATGTAGATGTGGCTGAAGATGGTGGCAGGATGCGGAGGTGGACAGAGGGGTACAAGTCCAGACCAGGATTTTGTTTCAACCAACCAGTTGAGTATAAAGAGTCACAGTCACAGAGTAACTCAACTGGTTGGTTCAAACAAAATCATGGTCTGGATTTGTACTGGTTGCTGGTCAGTGGGGGAGGTAGGGGTGGGTCTGAGAGCCCAATGGGGGAGGAGCTCCCAGATACCTACCAACAGAAGTGGGCATCTCTCCCCACTGCAGGACCACGTCCTTGGTGATCCTGCCATAGGTATTCACATAGACCCCCTCGTCCTCGTAGCACAGAAGCATCTCCATGCCATCAGTCTTGGGGAGAATCACAATGGCATGTGGAGTGATGGTGCTCTGAATCTGGTGGGGGGGGGGGGCAGTGTTGGGTGAGTATATTTGGTCAGTTGCAATGTAGAACAGTAAACACCAGGTGGCGCTGCTCGATCCTCAACAGCACTTCCCTCACTATTCTACTTGCCTTGCGGAAAATCATTTCCTCACCCCCCTCAGATTTCACAGGTGACTTAACGTTGGTCAAAGATTTCCACCAGTGAAGAGGCAAGAATTTTAAACTGTTACATAGTCTTCCCAGTTACGTCTCAGCTAAATGCCAGAGAGAAATCACTGAACGTGTATCATACATTTAATTTCATTTCATTTCTCTCGGTAAGGAAACTAAAGATGGACGTGACCCATTCAACAAGTGAACTTAGGACCATGAGACAGAGGACTTACATGGGACGGGATGTAGATGTCATAGGGATTTCCGGAATCCACATCA